TTCTAGATGCCGCCAACCTGGAACTAGGAGTCAGGGCACGTGTTTTGAGGTGAAATGGCCACAACTAGCTATAAGCAATTTGTGAATTGAGAATTATTGATAACAATTATGTTAGGAATGACTGAAATAAGTAATGAATTTTGGAAAAGCATAAATAGATCTTGAGCAATTTCCAAACATAAACAGAAGCTAAATATACTGAATGCATTTTAGAAATAATTATTCACTCAGCTCTAGTCCCCAGTCTTGCATGGGTATAAATTTAATTTACCACAAAATTGTCTATTACCTAATTTCATTAAGGTCTTCCTACAGCCTGTCACAGTCCTGAGCTATCAGCATAACATTTTGCTATCAGCAAATTTGGTGAATGTGGACATCCACATCCTGTTATAAATTGTTAATAAATAGATTGCAAATGCCAATTATATTGTGGTAGTCCTTGACAAATTCAACAATTAACTGCTTTCCATTTTGCCAGTTATTCCTACATACTTCCCACCTTGCAGTGAGTTTTCAGCTCTTTACAAGATGAATCGTCAACAGCCCCCGGAGACAGATTTTATCAAAACTCTTCAGAAAATTTTCAGTACGTTGCAGCTGCTGTTTGCCATGCATTTCATAAGCACTTGGTATTTAGAAGAAGGGTGGCCGTTGTATGACAGCATGGTTATAAGAAAGATGACAACATGAACTCATAGGTCCTCCCAGACCAAGCCACATATCCAAGAAGCTGAGCTGTTGTTTTATTTTGTCTCTAAGGCAAGAAGATCTTCATATGAATATTGGATCAGTTATACGCAGGTAAGGCACTCAAATACATTGAGCATCTTAAGACCAGTCAGTGCTGACACCATGCTGTAGCATCACTGCTTCAAATAGAGAATATTAGAGCTTTATTTCCATTACCAGGCAAGAAATTGAATGCAAAGATATTTTTTCCTTCAGAAGCTAGTGAACGGAGTCCAAACACTATTACGAGACAAGACATTCCAAAAACTGCTCTTCCTCACCTGTTTTTCCTGCACTGGCATGTCAGCATTTTTCTGAGATGAACCCTACAAAATGAGATGTGGAAATTCAATTATTTATCAGATTATATCTTATTCTTTACAAAATGTGGGCAGTTCCTTGTACTGGCTAGCATATGGAGCAGCTTCAAACCAGCCAAAAAAAGAAGAGCCTCAAAGTGTTGTGAAGCCATAGCAGATGTGTCATTGTCTGATTTTTGAGTCTTTGTTTTCTGAATTCTAATCATTCAGTGTTAAGGACATTTCTTTCTGGTTATGCTAGAGATCTGGAGATATGTTTTTGCTCTTAAAACATGTATATTTATATGGTATTAATTGTTATTTGTTTTGTTTATATTTATTGATCTGTGAAAGTATGTTTGCTGATCTAAAAAAATTTTTAGTGAATATTAACTCTCTGTTTTAGTGAAAAACTTTATGTTGCACCAGTTTAGGGAAAACTGACCAGTGTTGGTTCTGCTACTGATCAGACAGAAGCTGTAGTACACTACAAGACATGTTGACAAAGAAAGCAAAGCTTTTCTTCAACTTCTGACTCCGCAGTGCTAACAGTATTTATTTAAGTTCACAAATTAAAGTAAATGGCTGATTTGCTAAAAGAGCCTGGAATCCTGAACAGACAAATAATACTGTTTTTGGAGATTTCTGTATGCCTTCGTACTTCGGTTGTGCTTCCATCTTGTCCTGCAATCAGTGGTCCATCTCATGTGTATCTTACACATGGTCCATCCATGCATAAGTCCACCTTACTTGCTTAGTCTTCTCTCTGTGTCAAGATAATAATTCCTACTCATTGGCTTCTGCTTCTTCCAGGCCTTTGGTTTTGACCCATAGGCACTGTCAGGTGGGTGAGAGTCTGCATGTTTCTTCAAAATCATTGATTTCTCGACTGGTTGTGGAGCCTGCTCAGATGAGTGCAAACAGCGGGAGGTAATTTTGTGCTTGCCTCAAAGGTGCTGTGTAATCCAGGGCTCGACTGTCCCATGGTGATGGCATGACATGCCCCAAGCTTGGATGAGAGAGTTGGAGAGGAAATTGCGTGTGAAAGCACTGCCAGGGAAGCAGACTTCAGTAATCAGCTTTCCTGAACCCCAGCAGAACAACAGATGCACTGAGGACAAAGCCACTCCTAAACCACCGCAGCCAGAGTATTTGTGAGAAGCGATTGTTTTGGGTTTACAGAGACAGAAAAAAAAAAAATAGGTAGCAGCTGCCTCAAAACCCAGACTTAAATGAAAGACAGCTACAGCTTTGAAGGAGCTAACAGTAAAGCCTGATGTCCTGAAGGTCTAGGATCAGTTGAAGGTAGATTAATTGAAATTACTGAAAAGAGACAAATGCAGTGTGTCTGCCTGCAGCATCTCAGGAGGAACTGAAGTGGCAACAAAAAAAAGAAATTTGGATTTAGTTTCTGCTGGGAACAGCCTCCCTAATCGGGGTCAGAAAAGAAGCAGTTGAAGAGGTAATAGAGGTAGGAGGAAATAATACAGTGGGAACGAAGCACTGTGGAAAAATACTGATGCTTTAATTGCTAAATTTGGCACAGATATATCTGGGAAGCTAATCCTATTGAGTGTTTGCTATATTTGGATATTGGTTGGTTATCAGGGGTGTGTGTGTGTGCAGAATATGGTATTTTCTGCAGCTTTCTTCAGCCAACTGTACATTACAGATGGATAATTTATAATATTCTAAGACTGATGCTTTGCTTATTGTAAGGTGACACACTCCTTGAAGAATATACAAATTAATAGCACTGCCAACCAACAGTCAGCTTATTAGTCTGCTTCCTCGGCTTTTGAAATATGTTTCATAACTCTGAGAAACATTTCTGCTGCTGAGGTGATGTCAGACTATAACTTACAAACAGTATATCCAGTAAAGTGTATCAGTTGCAACAAGCAGAAGCTGTGAAAAGCTTCTGTCTTCAATAAATAACAAGTGTATGACTTTTCCTTCTTTTCCCTTATTGAATATCTATAAATTAACACTACCTTTCTGTGCAAACTCCTTAGTGGCTATGAAGGAAGACACAAAATGCACTGTTTCGCTTTTGGTGGCTCTGATCCGAGCCAGCCTTTGGTTCTCAGTGATATTTTTTACTTACTTGGTATGCCTTTTGAATGCCACCAGACATTCAGAGCTTCAAAACAATCAGATGTTTTATGGCTTTGAAAGTCTTGATTAGGTAGAGTCAGGAAAAAAAAAAAAAAAAAAAAAAAACAGTAATTTTAAACTGAGCTGAACAGCACCCGTAGCATGTAAGGGTTAATCAGAAATAGCAGAAGCTTTGTTGTCTCTATTTTAAAAGACAAAGTTGATGAAATGCAGTAAATCATCCCTTGAAAGTTAAGAAGCTAGAAAATGAGTGGTATTCAGTAGTGCTGTGCTACAGACAATGACAATACAAGATCCTAGGTGCTTGCGCCTGCAGTGGTGAGCGGATGATAAATTCTGAAGTGTGCACGTGGGTGTTTATTGAGGTCGCAGCTGGTTTGTGAGAAGGAAAAGTACAAATTCATTAACATGGGAAAGTGCATGTTTGACTTGCTCAGTTCTGAGCCCTGTACAACCCTGATAGGATGGTATGTGCTGCTTGGTGCTTGAGATTTAGAGATACCCTTTAGTATAACAGCATGATATATTATTTTTGGGTGTGTGGTTTTTTTTGGGTTTTTTTTTGTTCTTTCTTTATTTTTTTTTTCCTCCCCCACTGGACGTGTTGGACATATATTGGCTGTACTGTGCATGCAGTCAGGCGGGAGGGCAGATTTCAGCCCGGGCAGGGGTGTCCAACCCAGAGCTGGCTGGACAGGGAGAGGGGGCAGCTCCGTGCCTGGGAAGGACAGGAGGGCTTCATCCCTGGGGACCCAGCATGGGCACCCACAGGGGGACAGCTCTGGTCATCCATGGGGTTTTACAGCCAAAATTAAGGTGGCCAGCAGGGCTAGGTGCCTGTCGGTTGGTTGGGTGGTGGGTTTTGGGGGAATCACAGCATTGGGTGAAGGTGCTTAAACTCTGCCTAAGCCCTTCTTCTGGTACTGAGGTCCTTTACAGGAGCCAGTTCATGCAAATATTTCCATTCCCTGGCTGAATTCTGGCAATCAGTAATATTTTAACAGTAAAGATCTAAGACTTTTAATAGCGGGGTTTTGTACAAATAAGGAACAAGCAGTCACAATCTAGATATGACTCTGGGGACTAGGAATAAAGCTTTAGAAAAGGTCTTTGGAGCTTTGGATCCCCCAAGGAGAGAGAGCAGAGGAACAGATTGGGGAAAAAAAAAAAAAAAAAAGTGAACTTTCAATGTTACACATTTTCCTGTTGAAGCTATTCATGGGTTTTGTTGTCAATGTGTTACTGTAACACCTGCTGGCCATGGTGAGGATTCCTCTGGGACAGTATAATCACAGAGCACAATGTGGCCACAAAGAAATTACAACTCATGATCTGCAACATATAAAGGGGGAATAATGACAGACTCAAACAGGTATATGCTGTTTTATCCACACGAACAGTCTGGGTAGATGCATTTGTGTCTTCATTTAGTGTTTGCATTAGTTCTGTACACATGAGCGCTCCCTCGCAGCTCCGAGTCTGGCCATTACAAGTCGGCTGCTCTTAGGGTATCATTCAAGTGGATCTGAAATAGGGATTTGAAATAGGAGAAAATAACAGCTTAGGCTTAGGCTACTGTAAGCTGGGCCGGCTGAGGGACAAATTTACATTTAGATTGAGTCTCTTCACATCTCCTCCAAGTAATTGTAAACTCTCTTGTGCCTCAGCCCTAGAAAGGAATTTAGGGAGCCCTGCGCTGCCAAGCTGTGCCTTACACTTTGTAAAACATGTGATAGCTAATCTAAGTAGTCAGGCTTAGCATCTACTTTTCATAATTATTTGTGCAAATACTACTCGGTTATCAAATGTCTGCATAAATTGGACAAAGGATATCAGCACTGCCAAAATAAATTTGTTGTAGAAGTGTTATGTCTGATTATTTGTATTATTCAACCAACACCCAGGCGTCCTATTATGTTAAGAGTCACACAAGCATATAAGAAACTGTTCCCCCACCAGGGAGTGTATGACTAATTTACGATAAGAGACAACAATTGGACATTACAAGCAAATAAAAAGAATGGGAGAGAATTAGGTTAAGCGCGATAGTCGGTGCCTGCACGTTCCTATGAGAACCATCAGTGAGATTTAAGTAAAGGGAAAAAATGGTTTGATATAAATAAATAAGAAATATGATATCAGCAGCCCTTACTGGGCATTTGCCTAGCCCAACAGAGATTTCTGTGGTATGTACTTAGCTGTCATATTAGGGTCCTATTCTCACTCTTGCCAAGCCCATTTATGCCCCTCTTCCAGGGACCTCCAAATGGTGTTGGACACAGACAGCAGAGGACGGAGGAACCCAGCCAAGCTGCCGCAGCTGGGCTCAGGCCACAGAAATCTGCCATCTGCACCCAGCCAGGCACGTGCCCGGCAGGGTTCCTGGTACTGCACGGCTTTGTTACTGAGTGCTTTATACCGCCAGAAAAACCTAAAGGGATCTTGGCGTGACCGAGCATTCGTCTCAGCCCGATGTGTGCTGCTGTTGTTTTTGGTCCCAGGCTATTTTGTGCGAGTATCAATGTAAACGAGGCACTTTATTACGACGCCTCCTTGGACTGGTGCTGCCTCTGAGTGCAGGGGATAACTAGCCTGTATACTTTGAGGAGAGGAACACAAGGGTAGGCATTTATGGAGGTATCTGCTCTCCAGTCCCCCTCCTGATCCAAGGCCACCCTGCCCCGCTGTGAGCCTGTAATTGTTCCGAGCCTGGCTTCTCTTTACTGGGGATCCAGGCTGAGTTCAGCTCCTCATCCTCACCTTTGGGAGCTCATGGCTGACGATGCATGAACATACAAAAAGACCCTTCAAAAAATAAAGCATTTGGTGGGGAAAAAATCATAAAATAAGCAAAAATAATCTATATTTTGGTATTTGTGATGTGAAATTTGCAAGGTAAATTTCCAAAGCAAACTGGACTCTGCCAGGCACTGAAGTGTCTCGGATTAACTCTGCCAGCTAATTCCCAGCCTTTTGTGAATGTGCTCCTTTCTCCACCTCCCTAATTCTCTTCCCCTCCAGTGCAAAGAAGCCTGGCACTGTCTCTCAGCTATTGTTTGCAGGAAAGTGGCTTATCTTGAGCCATACTTTTTCCTTTCATTTTCCTTTTGATTTGAAGTGTTATTTTCGTGGGGCAACCGAGTCAAACCAGAGTACTCATAAATCAGTCCCGAGCAGTTCCCCTTTCATCACAGGACTAAAACACATTGAGAAGCTAAGAGAAGCTGGAATTATGGCGTAGTCTTGAAAGTTGTAACTGGACCCAAGGGAGAGCGGCGACATCCCTTCCTGATTCCTATCATCCCTAACATTTAATATTCTCGTGATAATATTTCTTCGGATGAAACACAGCATCTCTCGCTCCAGGATTTCAGCAAAGGAGGCTTGTTTAGCTTCTGGATGGTTAAAACAAACCGAAATAACTCCACCACCACCCCCGGCACTCCGCTGCTGCCCCGCGGCGGGGCGCTGCCCTCCTGCCCCCGCAGCCCCGGCTCTCCCTCGGGTCTTTTCTCCCCCGCTGCAGCAGCTCTCGCCAAACGACGTCACTTGTTGCACGATGACGTTGTCGGTGGCGTCACCAGCTGCCCGTGACACACCGGGGAGCCGAGCGGAGGAGCCCGGAGCATCCCCGCCGCCGCCGCGCCGCTTTCCCACGCTCCAGCTCCGCTCCCTTGTTTTTTTTTGTTTTTTTTTTTTTTTAGGGGTTCTCCGGGCTCTTTGCAAATAAACGCAAGGGCTCCGATGCCGCGGACCCCGAAAGGACGGCCCCCGTGTTTTTCGGAGCCACAGCCAGGAGCTCGCTGGGTGCCCGGGATGCTCGGCACTGCCTCTGGGCGAGCTCGGTGCCTGCCGCCAGCGAGGAGGTGATGCGGCGGCTGCTGCAAAGCGCCGGAGAAAGGATTTTCGTCAAGTCTTAGCTGGAAAAATAAATAAATAAATAAATAAATAAATAAATAAATAAATAAATAAAATGGTAAAAAAAAATATAAATCAAGCAACGTGCAACGCCGATGGCTGGGAAATACAAACTCCCCGCCCGAAAATCAGGGTTTCTGGCAGCAAGCGGCTGCCGGCGGCGCCCCTGTGCTGAAGGCTGCGGGGAGCTGGAGGGGAGAAGGAGCTGGCAGGGAGCCTGGCGCCGTGACAGAGGGGGCGGATCCTGCGCACAGGCGGGGAGCGCCGCGCCCGAGCGGCCCCGGCAGCAGCGGGGCTATTTCAGGAGCCGGAGCCGGGGCCGGCACCGGGACCGAGCGGGGCCGGGGGCAGCGGCGCCGGTGGGCTGAGAGGGGGCGGCCGGGTTAAGGGGGCTGCGGGCCGGGTGGAGGGGAGAGGGAGGCTTTTGGGGCGGCATCATAAGTTGAGCTGAGCCAGGCGGAGAGGGGAGCGGGAGGGGAAGGAGAGGAGGAGGAGGAAGAGGAGGAGGAGGAGGAAGAGGAGGAGGAGGAGAAGGCGGCGGCTGCCGCCGCTGAGGGATTTGGGCTCGTTTCGCCGAAGCAAATCAGTGCTCGGGAGAGAGCGGCGAGGAGGAGGAGGAGGAGGAGGAGGAGAAGGAGGAGAAGGAGGGGGTGAGGGGGCAGGGAGACAGGGCTCGGGCGAGAAAAGTGCGAGGGCTGTGTCTGGGCGAAGCAGAAGTGATGAGAAAGCCGGCGGGGAGGCTGCAGGAGGCTGCCACTGCCGCCGAGCTCCGCCGCCGGCCGCCCCCCCGGCGCCCCCGGCCCTCGCCATGGAGGCGCTGAACGGCCCCGGCCCCGGCCCCGGCGACTCGCTGCGGCCGCCGCCCGGCCACCACCACCCTCACGCCGACAAGAAGCGGCCGCACCGCGCCCCCTCGCCCGCCAGACCCTTCCTCAAGGACCTGCACGCCCGCTCCGCCGCCTCCAGCGCCGCCTCCAAGCCTCCCCCGGCTCCCCCCAAGTCCCCCGGGCTCCCCGGCCGACCCTCCCCGCCGCCGGCCTCGCCGCAGCCGGGCGCCCACCACCCTCCGGCCGCGGGGCTGCTGGCGGCGCAGGGCCGGCTCCCCCGCCGCCCCGCCGCCCCGGGGGCCAAGGCAGCCCCCGGCCCCGCCGCCCCCGCCGCCCGGCCGGGCTCCAAGGCCGCCCCCTGCGCCAAGCGGGCGCCCCGCGGAGCCGAGCCGGGCCCCGGCGGGCGGCCCGGGGGGCGGCAGCCCGGCGGCGGCGGCGGCGGCGAGGGGGTCGCGGCGGGGGGCAAGGGCAGGAAGGCGAAGCGGGGAGCCCCGCCGGGCAGCGGCCATGCGGCGGCGGCGGCGGCGGTGCTGGCCCGCGTGGGGCACACGGACAGCAGCTCCGACCTGTCCGACTGCCCCTCCGAGCCGCTCTCCGACGAGCAGCGCCCGGCGCCGGCCGCCAGCAGCGACGCCGAGTCCGGCACCGGCTCCAGCGACCGGGAGCCCCGCGGAGCCCCTCCGGCGGCCGCGGTCCGCGGGGAGCCCCCCCCGGGGCCGCAGCCCGCAGCCGGGAGAGCCCCGAGCCGCGGGGAGCCGGGCAGGGCGGCCCCCGAGGAGCTGCAGCGGGAGGTGGAGGAGCTGCGCTCCGAGAACGAGTACCTCAAGGTGGGTGAGCGGCGGGGCTGGGGGGATGCGGGGTAAGCCGGTGCCGGCAGCCTGGGCTCGCTCGCTGCGGTGGTGGCTGGGTGAAACCCAAACTCTTCCCGAAGCGGCGGGGAGCGAGGGCTCGCTTTCCAGGAACTGCTTGCTTTTCCTCAATTCCGCCCGTTAAATAAGAAGGAACCGGTTTCCCCGTTCGGTACGGGAAGGCCGGCAGCGCTGCGTCCTTGCTTCTTCCCTTTCTCTTTCTAGTTGACGTGCAACAGCACCCGCAACCAAAGGTGCGCCCTCGGACAGCTCTGTGCATGCATCCCCCGAGAGGCAGGAGAGCTAAATTCAGGCGTGCTGTGCTCCGAGCCGGCTTGACCCGCAGAAACCTTTGGTTGGGCTTGTCCCTAGAATATGAGCTTTTGGCACAGCGGAGAGGCTACATCCATACAGAGCTATAAATAAACAGAGTCGGATAATCGTGTAAGCGTGGGTACTGCGCCGCTTGACGCTGCTGCTGGTGACAACAACGTTTGTCCCCTGATTTTGCAAACTCCACTTAGTCAAAACAACCACAGAAATCTACGGGAGTTTTGCTCGAGTGAGGGCTGGAGCTGGGTGTAACCTTGGGCGAGAGGAGGATGGCAAAGATGTGAACTGGGCTTGCCGAGGGGTTTTGGCTAAGGGACGAGAAACGATGCTCGGCATAGCAAAAGGTTAGCGGCAGGGGTGCCGCAAGGTTCTCTGCTGGGGCTGGTGCTGCTTAATGAACTGGAGAAAGGAGTGAGCAATGATACAGCAAAATCTTCAGACGGCATGAAGTTTTTCTTAATCTGAAGTCAAGTCCAGCAAAGACTGGGCAGAACGTGATTGGAGGCTTAGCCCTGGTGAATGAGTGAGAAATGAAGGCAGAGGACGGGAAATAAATCTCAATATTGAAAATCTGAAGCACTCAGAGAGAAGGACTGAATGTGCACTTTTCTAGGTTTTAAATGCCTTGTGTCAGCTCAGGAACATCCTGAGAGAAGGAGCAATGCAAATCGCTGCTCAGTGTGAAAGTGCAGGCAAAATGTTTGATTTCATTGGGAACTGAACAGAGAATAAGAAAGAAAATATTCTAATGTTTTATAGAGCCACAGCTGTTATGTGGACCAGTGGGTGCACCTGAAATACTGTGGGCACCACTGGTCATCTAGAAAAGGATAACACAGAAGTAGACCAATAACAATAATTGGCAGACAGCAGAGCCTTTATAGCACTCATTTGTTGGAAAACTCTGGGGTGTATCAGGGAAATGTAATAAAAGTCTATAAAATGATGAGCGACATTGAGAGCCTTTATCAAAAGCTTCTGTTTTACTTAACAGCCCAGAAACAAGAGGAGATGTAACAAAATCTGGGTTGGTAATAGGAATTGCTTTCAGGAGTGGGCAAACTGGCACTGGAGGTCAGGAGTGTAGGAATACCCAGAAAAGCACCTCTTTGGACATTACTTTTTGTTACAGGATTTCCACAATTGTGCTTACACTTTCACACAGTATGAAGAATGTGTTAATCCTCCTGCTTCGTACTGAAGACAATTTGTAATTGTGGGAAGCAGAAAATAGTGTTTGTCTGAATTGCCTAGGACCAATTCTCATTAGGGTTTGGCATTGGCAAGTCCTAGGTAAAGAACTTCATTCCACATCGGCTGAAATGTCTACCTCTGTGTGGCTTCAAGTCTTTCACCTTGGTGTCTTCATCACCTGCAGAGGTCAGGACCCAACCCTCCTTTGATTTGGGCTGTAACCTTTTCAGGCCACAAGCATTTCAGAGACCTGCAGAGTAATGCAGGCTGCTTGCTTAGGGATCTAGTTGACTTCCAGTGGGCATTTGCTGGTGTCTGGAAATCCCTGGGTTGGCACTGTGGACTTTTCTTCTCCCTGGCCACCCCAGTGCATACAGTCTTGGAAGCGCTGCTCCTCTCCCAGATGGGTTGGAATCAGTCTGACAGCTCAGAAGCCATCGGGAGAATTCCCAAATTTTCTTTTCCTTTCCTAGGGAAACTTATTAAAGCACTTCTCTAGTCTTCCGCAAATTAAAACCACAGTGTTGCGCGAGCTGTTGACGTGTGGGTTTGTTTCTTGCGTTTCTTACAAGGCAGTTCTCTTGTTTGGTGAAGGAGCGAGCTTTGTTTCTTGTTTAACTGGAGGGGGTTAAGAAATAATGGGGAGGCTGTCAGCTGTGAATAGACAAATGATTAGATAAATCCCAGAAGAAAACATTAATTTCCTGAGCGTGTCCATATGCTGAATTTTGTAGAGTTCACTCCTCTTCCCTCCCTACATCTGGAATGCAACAGTAAGTGCACATGATTTTAGAGCCTATTCCAGGGAAATTTCTCTTTCACATAGAAAGGACTTTCACATCTCTTTCACATCTCTATAACAGGATATAGAAAGTACTCTCTCTGTGTGTATATATATGCACACATTGTATACAAAGACTTATTTAACTGTAATGGTTACTGGAGATAAAATGGCTTCTAGAAGAAACAAAGTGAACACAATCACTTGTCTTTATTTCTACCCCAAGACTAGAAGGTCTCCCAGAACTCTCCATGGAAGCCTTGCAGAGCAAGCTGTTGGTGCTCCAGTTGTCTGAGACTCCACATACTGTGAGCCTGATCTCAACCTGATATAAAGTTGCCACCCTATGTATTTCCTGGCACTGTGATTTCATGCTAGATGGGGCTTTGGCTCCAGAAGTAGCGGACTGTCTGTAAAATGAAGAATATACATGAAGCAGCTCGGGATAAGTGTTCACATGGTGCAGTTTCCCTTTTACTACCTCTGTGAAATTTCATTGTTGATTTCAGTTTCAGGAGTTTCTTGCATAACCTTCCCGTGTAACATGCTGAAAGGCTGTAATACTACAACAGCAATTAAAAAGGTGTCACTTATTTGTTGAGGTGAAAGAGTGGAATTATGTCATGGTGGCTGCCTCTGTAGTCAGAAGTTCATTGGTAAATGCTAGTGGAAGGTATAGGTTTAGTTACTTCTGTCCGGTCCCATTTGTAGGAGCAAAATACTGCCTGTGGAGAACCATTGTGGACTGTGCAAGTCCTGGGAAGCTTTGAAAGATGCTCCTTGTGGTGCAGATCCCTCTAAAGGATCAGGGTTCCTAAGGGAGAGGGACTAAATTTTAGCAATTAAAGATGTTCTCACTTTATCTTGGCATAAGTTTGTTTCAGGCTGTTTTAATTAAGTAAGCTTGTTACCAGAAACAGCAGTGATACTTCACTTATGAAATACAAGTCTGACACATGTTTTTCTCTTTACATCCTTCACGGACACTATTTGGAAGAAAAAAAAAAAAAGAAAAGAAAAAAAAAAAAGCCTTGTCCATGAAGTGTAACACTTCTTGCTGTTCTTAAATGAAACTGGTGCTTGCTTTGCTTCACTGAGTGTTTGTGAGTGTCTGGGTACAAGTTCACATGCCCTAGATGCTACTACTGTGCAGACTAGCACAAAAATATATTCTAAGCTATCTAGGATATCTTAGATGATCACCTTGTTTATCTTGCTTTGTCTTACTCTTTCTACATTCATTTTTATCTGTGACTCAGAGTGTATAAAAGGGGAATAAGTGGCCACTCCTGGCACCTTACTGCACCCTGATATATCTACACAAAGCTCATTTTTGTTTAAAACTGCAGTGTGTGTCACATGAGGTTATCTTGTATTTCCCAGCTCCCTTGAAACTGTAGGTCCTTGAGTCTGTATGCTTGAGGTGAACTTCACTTGTGTATCAAAGGATCTTTGCCAAGCAAAGAACGACGCAAAGAGACGGGACCAAATATTTCCTTTAGCGAGGGTGACAGGGTTCAGCAAAACAAAGCAAAAACAGAGGTTCCCCTGCCATCTCACCTGGTACCTGGTATTCCTGAAGCAAATAGCAGCAATAATCCTGCTCTGGGCCTGCAGCCTGTGTGATGGGCATTGGCCCACGGCCAGCTGCTGGAGGGAAACATCACCTTGGGGGGGAATAGGGGAAAGGGATGGGGCCTTGGTGGCCCCAGCTGCATCCCCACCAAAGCCCTTTGCTGCCTGGAGGGTAGAAGAGGCGATGTACCAGGACATAACCTCCATCTCCAGTGCTCAGGAGGTTTGGTGGTGGTGGTACATCCATCAGATGAGTGCTCCCAGGGCTTCAGATGCCCCAGCAGAGGAAGCGTGCTGGCACAGTCACAGGCCCGGTGCTTGAGTGAAACAGAAAAGCTGCCAGACGCTCCTCTCTCTCTCACATCCTGCACACTCCAAGCAGCCCTGAAGTCAGCAGCTGCTCACAACCGTGTGAGTTTTCGGTTCTCATCTTGTTTCACACCTCCAGTGTTCTGCCTTGGAAAGTTGTGCAAGCTTCAGGCAGCACTGGGTCAGTGCAAGGCTATGTTAAAGCAGTTTGGCTTGAGAGCTGAACAATACAATCAGGGGCCCAGGGGCTTTCAGTTCCTTAGCGTATTTTGCAAGAGGCAACAATAATGGTTGTTGCTTTCTTCACAACCAAAGCCTTTTAGAGCGTATTTATCCCTACTGCAGCTCTGCCAAAGCGGGTAAAGTGATAAGGGGGATGTGTTTATTCCTTAGCAGTAACACCGTCTCCTACATAAAGATGGTTTGAGATATTTAAAATACAAAAACAGAGATTACATAAAATTGCAGTTCGTGAATCTCATATTTTTCAAGGCCTTTCTAGAACTCCTGGATTTGCTGGTACCATAGCGGTTACCCACTGTAATTTCCACCCATCCTTTCTTCCTCGCTCTCCCCACATTTGATTTAACTTATTTTAAATAACCTTTTATTTAGAAAAGCTACTGGCATAAGCTATAAATATGACTTCTGGCTAAATTAAACAACACTTAGACTTTTTACATAGACAATTGAATTTCATGCTTTGCTTGCATTTGCTTAAATGCTGTACTTACTGGTTTTGTATGTTTGTTTTTCTACTCCTTGTTTGCAGATGTTACCAAGCTAGTATTTAACTTCTGGGCACTGATACGTTCCTAGTTTGCAGATACTACCATCTAGACACTGACGTGTTCTACTTCAACAGAGCCTCAAAACTTTCAGTTTGTTGGTATACATAATTGTAAGTGCATAGGAAAGAATTCAGTATCTATACAACCTCTACTGAAGTTTCCTCATCCTTACTGAGGTTTCTACATCCACTGGGTTTCCTGAATAAAACATCTCCATCATTCTGGTGTTTTAAAGCTGTCCAGAGGATGCAAGAGTAATGGAGCACACTTGGAGCACACTTGGAGCACCCTTGGAGCGTAGTTCTCTGGGTGTTTTATTCCCAAAGGAATACAGTTTGTGTGTGCTCCGCAGGCTGTGTGGATGAAAACAGGAGGTGGTGGGGATGACTGGAAAATTTGCCTTCAAACCTCATTACGGTCTCAGCCAGACTGGCCAGGTAGACACCG